GCGACTTTTCCCGCCTTCGAAGCCTTTAGGGCCTTAGAGGAACCCTTTTTGGTGGACTTGTGCTCTTTACCCGATTTCTCTTTTCTTTTTCACGGGAGTGGACGCGGAAGACTGCACCGTTGGTATCGGACGTTTCGATGTCGACTGGACGATGTTGGATGAGGATTTTGAAGCCAGAGCCGTCAATGTCGATGGTCTCACTGGTACTTCTGGATCCATGGCGGAAGCGCCGATTCTAGTAATGCCACCCGGAGACGCGCCACTCGGTTCTTCCTAGTTTGATTGGAGAACTTGGCACAATACCTGCAGGACTCCGGTCACTGTCTCTCACCAAGACAAAAAATACAAAGAGTGCGGCCGCCCAGCGGAGCAAGCTTACTACTGCACCCTTTGCAACCTTTGAAAACCCTTCACCTTTTCTCCATAAAATAAAATGGATGGAGAAGAAGGGGGGGGCGCGAAGGCCAAACTGAGGTAAGACGAAAAACTTCCTTCTCAAAACTAAATAAAATCTTTTTTAAAAAAGAAAAAACGAAGTGAAGGAAAGGTGAAAAACTGAAGAGAAATCCGAAGAGCCTCTGAGGAAAATAGCTACCAATCTGACCAACGAAGGAAAGGTGCTTCCATCGCGGCGGAAAGAAAGGAACTGGCGGGATGTCCGCATCCACCCCTCTGGGCATGCGTGGTGGGGGTTCCTGCACATGCCTGAGGTCTGGCACGAAAATCCGTTAGAGCTTGCTACAATACCTATCGATCCAGTGCAGGTGCACTGTATCCAATGGGTGTGAAGCACAGAGACCATGTTGAAGATTCTGTGTTTCTGGCAGCTGATGTGTTTCACTCAAAATACCCATGCTTTGGATCCAAGATGTTAGAAAACCAAAATAAACTGTAAATAGAAACATCTATTATTAAACACTACTAGTTATTCTGAGTTATTTTTCTACTCCAAGAGGGTATCTGTCTGAGCTGAGATAAACATTCTTAGATCAGTTTTCCTCTGCAAAAACCCATGAGCCATTTTCATGTTGACTGGGCCAAAAACCACCCTAGTTATTAACAAATTTTGAGGGGCTGTTTTAAGCTTTTCTGATTACAGAAAGAAAACTGTATGTGGTGGGTGGCTGTACTTTGTGGGCAACATTTACTAATGTGAACAAAACATTATTCTAAGCCAGAGGTCCCCAACATGGGGCCCACCAAAACATTTCCTGGTGCCCATCAAATGTTTTTAGAAAAGTGGGCATAGCCAGGCAGGATCACTACCCCACAGGGCTCCTGATTGGCTGTGCATATTTTCTATAAAGCATTCCACCAGTAGCTGACACCCTAGTGTTTGTTTTATTCTCTCTCACTTCTCTTTGCCAGGGTATTTTTTAAAACTACCCTTCTTCTCCCCTACACTTGGGCTTCCTCCATGTGTGTGTGTGTGTGTGTGTGCATGCACCTCCCAGGGCCGCCATTTTGTGGTTGAACTCACCACCCAATGTCAGAATTCCAAAGGTGCCCATGGGCTCAAAAAGGCTGTTCCAAACCGCTGAGCCTCTTCCCTATGCAGTCTGCCCGAAACTGGGGTGGAATTTTCCTGCACAGTACACTTTTAACAAATCCACCAGACAACGGTAATTCAGTGTAATAAAGTACTGCAAACATAAAAAAGACCTTGACAAGCAACTGGTCACCTTTCCAACAAATGCAGTCCACAGCCAGCCAGAAGCCTTCCACTTAAGAGAAAGACACCTCTTGAAAAAGACCCACGACACTGTCGGACTTCAGAACAAGGCATTTTTTATCAAGCATTACATCAATTTTCAAACCAATATTGATTCCAAATGGTAAACCCTCAGACACTGACCCCCAAATGATTATGACCACAATACAGCAGTAGTTTAATCCTGAATCCTGAAGAGCAAAATCAAAATTTTAATAAAGTGTATATATGCAATGTTTCTCAAATTTCTAGACAGATTTCTTCAGAAACAGTCTTAAACATAATTTTATACATCCTTATAGAATATTTTCTTTAACCAATGGATGAATGATCAACAAGGGAAAAAAAGTCCAAAAAACTACCATACAGTGGCAGTTTGCACCAATTCTCCCCTTTGAAATGAAACGGAGACCAGTGTCTCTTAAAGTGAATTACCAGCGTACAACTCATCCTTACTTTACATAGAATTTTTCACATCCATTCTGATAAATTTCAGCATTTACATTCATCCTGCTTAGCAAAGCCAGTCCCTACATTGCCTATTTACTGTGGCTGCCACTACAAAGTTACCCGCCCTATGGCGGTTGGCATTCATCCATGTCAGTAAGATATGGATGCTGCCATCTACAAATAAAAAGAAACCCTCAGATCTGCAGGTAGTGCCCATTAATTATTAGGACATTAAGTGCCCTGTGCGTTTTCAATCCATGGCTCATCATCAGGGCCAAGTTTGGTGCAGTGGTTAAGTGCGCGGACTCTAATCTGGGAGAACCGGGTTTGATTCCCCACTCCTCCACTTGCCCCTGCTGATGTGACCTTGGGTCAGTCACAAGCTCTGGCACAGCTGTCCTTGAAAAAGAGCAGCTTGTGTCAGAGCTCTCTCAGCCCCACCCACCTCACAGGGTGTCTGTTGTGGGGAGGGGAAGGGAAAGGAGTTTGTAAGCCGCTCTGAGACACCTTTGGGTAGTGAAGGGCGGGGTATAAATCCAATCTCTTCTCTTCTTCTTCTTCTACATGGTTTCTTCATGGACAATACCGAATGGTCTTGTGTTTTAGGACTGAAAGTCAGGCTTGTGTGTTCCCTCATCCTCCGCTTGAGGTCTCCAAACTAAGTTACTGCCCTTTCAATGCAAACTGTACTACACTTGAACTGGCAAACTATACCACCAGACCAGGATTGCACACCACAGTTTGACACTGGTCTGTGAACCTGGTTTAGAGGACAAATGCTCCCTCTGTAGTTTATCAGTTCAGACAGACTGGCCAGTGATCGTTGGAATGAAACAGAAATTGCCTCACTGAATAGGAGGTAAGAGGAAAAGAACAAAAGGGAGGGGAGAAAGGAAAGCATGGGCTTGAGGCTTGGCCACATAATGACAAATAATGCTTTAGCAGAGTGATGAGCCAATGCATTGCAAATTCTAGCTAAAAATTTTTTTTGAAGGAACTGTTGAATGAAGGACACTTAATTCTCTGCAGCTCCCCTCCCCTTGCAGTATGAATTCCAAGGACACTCCTTGTGTTCCTTCCATGTATCCATGGGTAGGCCAAATCCCGTGAATACACAAGCGACTGGGGATGTCAATGGGCGAGGATATGCTAGTCCTCAACATCCAGGAGACTCAGCACACCCGTGTTACAAAACCGACCCCATTTGAGTGGTGTATTCGGCGAGCCACCCACAGGAGGGTGATTTTGTGTCAGAAGCTGCGCTGCAAAAGCGACGGACGGACAAAGTGGCATGCAACTGGAGTAAAGCACACTTTTTTTTTTTTACTAAGGACAATCAATTCCGGTGTTTTAGCATCTGAATAATAGAACATTTTTAGCAGCAACGGTGTTTTCATTTCAGCAGTTCTCCAATAATAGAACATTTTTAGCAGCAACGGTCATTTCAGCAGTTCTTCAGCACAGGATTAACCCAAGTTTGCACTAATAGGAAAGACACTTTAGCAGCTGTGTGCAATCATTAGGTGCCATCTACAGCAGAAGGCCAACAACAGGACTTTGAAAGAGACAGAAAAAAAAAATGGTCATACTGATTGAATTTATAAAACATAGTCAGACTGTACTTGGGATTATCAAACATCCAGAAGGGTGAACTAGAAGTACAAATAGAAACAGAGAGCACGTTTTTGTAAAAAAAAAAGCCACCAGTGGAAGACGAAGGCTGTGTGCTCTGCCATATAAAGGTGCCTGATTGTACTACTCGGAGCATCATGCCATCTATGCTGTAGTTGTAGTGCGGACTGACAGAGGTGACAGGGTCTTTGCTCCAGTCCTTAGGAGACAGCCTTTGGGATTCCATTCCAGGAACAGGCTCAACAAGTTAAACAGTATTCCCACTGCCACCTCATTGTGACTGTGTGAGCTGTGGAGTACTTGGCTCTCTAGGTGATGAAGGTACCTCGGCACTTCCTGTCATCAGGCTGCTGTTCCATTGGTATTGCTGGTGTTTCTTTTCCAGTCTAGAATCACATGCACTGGAATTACAGTAACTTCTACAGGAAAACGTTTTAAGGCATTAGAAGGTGCATACAGAGGCAACAGAAGATGTCCTTGGTTTCAGCGTGTGAACGTCCCACAACACATGCCTATGCAAACCTACCTGCTTCCTATATATATAGAACAAGATTCAGTGATCTTCTACAGATTTTTAAAGTGCCAGAGTACAAACTTGCTTATTTGTTTTCAAGAGCCTTGGCGAACTCCACTATAACTAACAAATCACAACCCCCCTGGGTTTGATTCATTTATTAGTAGAATGATGAACTCCATTTCTTCAGTGATGCTAACTGGAATCCAGTGGGTGAACGAGTCCTTCTTTATAAACATGAAGAATAGCTTCACAGATAAATTTGTATTGACTCTGTAACAATATAAAGATTTGGAAAAGTTTAAATGATTTAAGTTAATGCATAGAACATGGTACACTATTCAGCTATGATGCCTTCATCTATAACTTCAGCACTGAGTAAATATAGCTTGTAAATAAACAGATTAAATATAGTTTATTAATCAGGTGCGGAGGTCAAACAATATTAAACAATATGTTCACTAAGAGGCATCCTGTTAAACAGAGATTTTGCCTAAAATCTTGACTATTCTGGTGATATTTAAACTTACTCCCTGACATTTTGTGATTGAAGAAGAAAAAGAAAAGAAAAGATTGAATTTCTACCCCACCCTTCACTACCCGAAGGAGTCTCAGAGTGGCTTACAATCCCTTTCACTTTCCCTCCCCACAACAGACACCCTGTGAGGTAGGTGGGGCTGAGAGAGCTTTCTCTTGAGAACTGCCCTGAGAGAACAGCTCTGAAAGAACTTATGACTGACCCAAGGTCACACCAGAAGCTGCATGTGGAGGAGTGGGAAATCAAACCCGGTTCTCCCAGATTAGAGTCTGCACTCTTAACCACTACACCAAACTGGCTCCGCCTCCTGCAGCAGCCATTTTGTGGGTGCGTCCACTACCCTGTGTCAGAATTCTAAAGGTGCCCACAGGCTCAAAAAGGTTGGGGACTCCTGCTATATACCAATTTCAGTTTCCCTTCCAATACCATTAGCAGTAGAAATTACTCCCAACACCCTCAGTTTATACAGAGGAACTGATAAAAAAAATTACAGTGGTGGATCATGGACTACAATAGGGCAACTGACCTCATTATGTTAAAGAACACAAGGCGGAAAACAATGTTATCATCTTTTTCGCACTCTGTATTAAGAGTCGAAATAGAGAGGGCGGGCACAGGTATCACAGTCCTCCTGAGCAGCTACCCTCTGCTGGAGAGTCCATGAACGTCAGGAGTTCCAAGTGCTTTTTAAGCCCCAGCTTTACAGGGCTGAGACAGAGGAGGCAGAAGGGGCAGACAGAAACTTGAATCTCATTAGGTTTTTCTGCATTCTGAGCTTCCTGCTGGTTACACTTTGTTTTTAGTGAACACTGGCATCAGTTCTAATTTGCTGTAAGTCACCTTGAGAGCCTATTAGTTGGCAAGAAAAATATTTTAGACCAACAATATGACAGGTTTTATTTTACTATGTGCCACATGCTTACCTGGGCCAACTCCTACTTGCCCTGTGCAAATAGCAAGTTGAACCTCTGACTGACATCCACACATTTATGAAGTTTCTTAAAATGCTTATCTAGCCTTCTGTAACAGCAGTCATTTCTATCACTTGTAAAGATTGTCTTGTTCAACCAGATGGTTACGATTACAGTAATCTATAGTTCAGTAAGGTCCTGGTGTCCAAATGATTTATTTAAGATTATGCCCAGTCACACCCCAAACAACATAGCTGCATTGCAAGGGGGAAAAAATATGTTGCCCTTTTGTTATTAGATGACTGCCAAGACTGATTTCCACTGAAATACTTTTCTCTGACTGGGACTGTCACAGGCAGAGACTACGGAGACTCTCCACAGCCTGCCACCATTCTGGTATGGGGTCTCCTCGGGACAGCCCAGAGCACCCACTTGACCCCTTATCCACTTTTTCCCAATAGGGTATACTTTATATGTGACTAAATGAGGCATGAGGACCCAGGCAGAGAAACAATTTTATTAAAGAGGTATAAGAACAACTGTAATTCAAGTAATGTGTAAAATACCGAGAACAGTAAAGGTAGGTAAGCAAACAAAATAAAACACCCTAACGCGTCTGTCTAGACCGTTCCCAGCTGTCTCTTGGTGACCGGCTTCAAGCCGACTCACCCCTTCCCGGATGAGGGATCCCTCCGTCTGCAGCGACCTTTCCCCAGCTCTGCTCTCTAGGAGTGAACACCATCCCCTTTTGGGCGAGGCCTTTTATCCCTTCTTCCCAGGCACCACCCCCTACTCCTCTACTGGTGCAAGTTTTCCCTCCAAATCCCGTTAACCAATCACAGGGTCCAGAGGGTGTCTGGGAAATGTAGGCCTGGTGGTTACTATAATACAGGCTTTCCAAGAGCCACTGGGTCCCCTACAGCCTAAAGGCTGCACTAGTATAGGCCTAGGATCATGACAAGGATCATGAATCACCTGGATAGTGATACTGGGCTAGATCCTGGGGCTCTGTTCCACTAGCACTAGCATCTTCCCTGGTACAGGCAGCCTTCCTTTGACACAAGAGGCTCTTCATTACAGTGGCGTTACAGTTACAGAGCTTTCTGGAGGATACTTCAGTCTTAGATCCCTTCCAGTCCGGTTTCCGCCCGGGCCATGGGACTGAGACGGCTTTGGTCGCCCTGACTGACGATCTCCGAAGGCATCTGGATCGAGGTGGTGTGGCGGCGCTGGTGTTGTTAGACCTGTCGGCTGCGTTCGACACGGTCGACCACCAGTTGCTAACCCACCGCCTCGCCGACGTGGGGATTCAGGGGCTTGCCCTTCAATGGTTTGCCTCTTTCCTGCAAGGTCGGGGACAAAGGGTGGCCGTCGGGGACCGGCGCTCCCGTAGGTATCCCCTTGAATGTGGGGTACCACAAGGAGCAGTGTTGTCCCCGATGCTATTTAACATCTATATGCGCCCCCTTGCCCAGATTGCCCGGAGCTATGGGCTTGGGTGTCATCAATATGCAGATGACATCCAGCTCTATCTGATGTTGGGTGGCCGGTCGGAGTCGTGTCCCAATGACCTTCATCGGGCATTAGAAGCTGTGGCTGGTTGGCTCCGGCTGAGCCCATTGAAACTAAACCCGGCGAAGACGGAGGTCCTGGGCCTGAGTCGGGGCGGGGTTGGGGCTCCCTCTCCCGACCTTCGACGGGGTGCCTTTGGTGCCAGTGTCTGGGGTTCGGAGTTTGGGGGTGCTCCTGGACTCCACATTAACAATGGAGGCCCAGGTGGCAGCCACTGTCAAGTCCGCCTTTTTCCATCTGCGGCGGGCACGGCAGTTGGCCCCCTACCTTCACCGCGAAGACCTGGCCACAGTTATCCACGCGACGGTCACCTCGAGGCTAGACTGCTGCAACGCTCTCTACATGGGGCTGCCTTTGTCGCAAATCTGGAAGTTGCAACTGGTGCAGAATGTTGCAGCCAGGCTGTTAATGGGTCTCTCTAGAAGGGACCACATTCAGCCTGTGCTGAAAGCGCTGCACTGGTTGCCAATAGTGTACCGGATTCGCTTCAAGGTGCTGGTTCTTACCTATAAAGCCCTATATGGCCAGGGTCCAG